TTGATGCTTATTTAGAAATAGATATGTATATATAGAACGATGTTTTCTCCCATTTTATTTTAAAGTCCCACTCACAATTGAAGATGATCAGATTGAACCAGGGTGTCTAGAAGATCCTTCACTGTAGTTGAAGGCGTTGTTACCCTTTCCGCTCCCATCTCCAATTCCAACACTATTGTTATTACCACTGCCATTACCGTTAACGGTTTGGTTGCCGTTTTGGGAAATATTTCCGTTGATGACACCATTGTTGCTACCACTTCGGTTTCCAATATTGTTGCGACTACCGTTGTTGTTTTCGTTATTTCTATTATTATTGACGGCGGTGTTTTTTTCGATGTTTAGGTAGTCACTTTTGCTAGCATAGCTTTTATTTTTGACGTAGATTTTGTTCTTGTTTTTTCCGTTTCTTCCACTAAGATCATTACAACCAACTTCACCATTCACACATGCTCTTCCTTGTATATTCTTAGTTCCATCTCCATTATCACCGGCGTAGCTTTTTTCAATACTTGCCTCGAACATTCCTCCAATATTTTCCTTAAGAGATTCTTTACTATTATATTTATTCCCTCCTCCACATATCATGTCTCCCGTGGAACAACCAATATTAGTTGAACCCTCTCCATATGCAAGAGGTTGATTTTCCTTTTCAACAAGCTTTCTACCACGAGCAATGTTAGATGTGCACATCAAAAACCCAAAAAATATACAAACAAAAAACTTAATTTCCATCATATAAGTTAGTTTTTTCCAATATTTTATCGATGAATTATGATAATTGCTAACACAATCTAATCTATATATAGAGATTTAAATGGGAGAAAAATTTAATAAGGTAGTTAATATATTAATGAATAAATAGTTTTGTGTCTTAGTATATATATAAATATTATTATGTGATATATTGTACCATCTAAATAATTTGATAAACCCATCAAACATTTTCTATTTGTTTTTAATTTTACTAAAAATGTTAAGTACATTCACGTTATTTTATCATTGAAATGTCATAATAAAACTAGAAAACACATCAAGAACTATACCATACTATTTGTGTTTTTATCATTGAAGTGACATAACAAAACTAGAAAACTCATCAAAAACTATAACATACTCTTTGTGTTTTTAAAATTAATCATTTTATTAATTTATTGTATAATCCACCAATATAAAGATTGTTTTTAAAATTAATCATTTTATTAATTTATTGTATAATCCACCAATATAAAGATTCTAAAATTTAAGTTAACTATGTTATTTTAAAGAGACTCCAAGTAGATGAAACTTTTTTCTTGTCAAGTTTCATTTTCCTTTTTCATTTACATATAGAAGGTTTACATGACACACACACGTGTGTATATATATATATATATATATATATATATATATATATATATATATATATATATATATATATATATATATATAATCTTTAACGTATTTATACTCTTTAATATCTTCTACATGTATCTCATTTTAAAAAAATGGTAAATCGGACAACTCATTGTATACATCAAATATGTCCCAAGGTCCAACATGTGAGAGGTAAATCTTGTATGACTAGTAATATTTTCTATGTTCTAGTATTTGAACCCTTAAGTTTTTGTTTAAAATTTTACATCTCAATAACTAGGCTCTCATTGTAGGGACATATGTGTGTTAAGACAAGCATATTTCACTAATCATTATGATATAAGTTAAATTTGAGTATGATAGGATGTTATGGCTAAATCATCTTTAAGCCATTTCTATGTAAAAAATGAATTATTCTTTGATTATAAGAGCTTAAGAATAGTAATTATTGTTACAATGTCAAAGGAGAAGATGAAGGATAAATGATCGGGTGTTGGGACTTCAAACACTCAAATATAAATAAGGTGATTAAAACTTATCCTACATTTAAGATAGGATCTAACTAAGATTATTTGAATATGAGTTTTACAATATAGTATATTATATTATGATTTGTGGTGGAAAGTAGAACCTAGCATACTTGGCGTCTAAAGTGATATGGTTCAAGATGATTTTTTATACTAAAATAATTTTGCTGACTGTAGCATTTCGAATGTAAATCATTGGTTTTACTGGTAGCCTGGGTGGCTAAAATATCACTTTGATGGAAATTTGTGGTCATAGTAGTCTTGGTAACTATAATCCCAATTGACGAACATATGGAGTAGCCTTGGTAGTAATCATATCAAAAGTTTGATTATGTACGAATATTTTTTTTTTAAGGGCATGTTATATTATTTTGGTGGTTATAGTTATGGATTACAATTATAAATTGTATATAGGATGTTTTATTCACTAAGCTTATAACTTACCCTGTTTTTTTATTTATGTGCCTTTCGAGAAACCACTCTTAGGGTAAAGATTTAGCCAAAAGTCAGAAACCCTAGGAGGAATTTTCTAAATTCTTAAACTATTGTAACTATCTGACTCGAACAGTAGATTTTCTTTTGTTATACATGATAACTATTTGTAAAATGTAGTTTAATATGAAGGTAATGTTTATCTCTTATATACAAAATTCGGGTGTACTTTATGTTGAATTACGGAGTTTCACAATTTGTCTCATTTTATCTTCCAAGTTCCAAATAAAAGAGCTAAATTTAATACTGTGACGTCGAGCCTTATAATCTCATCACTCAAAGTTTTTTCACGTTGATATCTTATCACAGTGTGTTAGCCACTTTCAAAGCTTATCTACAAGGTGGAGTTTTCTTTTGTTACAATTTTATGATCCATTATCTAAGTGGTAGGATCTCTTTATGTATAGTATATCTCTTTATGTATAGTATATATTCTATCAAAGTGTGTCAGCCCGTGTCAAAAGCTTATTTATAGCGTGAAGTTTTCTTTTGTTAGAAGTTTATGATCTGTTGTCTAAGTGATAGGATCTCTTTATGTATCGTACATATCTTTGTATTTGAATACCTAATATGTAGGATTTCATTGTATAATAGTCTTACCCTAGTATATATGTTATCACTTGGGTTTGAATGTAAAATGCGTCGCTTTGTGCATTCTCTCTTTCTGAAAGTTCTTAATCAAAATTGGTTTTTGATTATTCTTTGTTCTTTATTGCTTTATATATTATGTTATTATGATCCTTTAAATACATTTTACATTACTTATTCAAATAATCATGTGTGTTGTGACATGTTGATTAGATGAAAAAGCAAGATATAAAATTTACTTACTTTTTACATTTAGGTAGATGAAAAAAATATCATTTATAAATCATATTCTTTTATTAAATATCAGAGGTGGATAACTAGATGGATAAGGAAACGAGTGAGTTAGTCGGGTTGGATTGGTTGAAAAACATGCATTGCATAATTTTAGATTTTTCAAAAGCAAAAGATTGTTATTTCATTACATAGTAACAAGTTCGAATTAATCTTTTCATCATTATCCTTGGTTGAATTTTAAATATATGGTTTTTCAATATAATTAGTGGGGATGTAGCATGTTATGGCGAATTTACAAACTCTGTATTTTCAATACCATTTACGTAATGCTTTCTTACATATAGATTATTTTTGTAATTTTTCTACTAAACCAAGACCGTTACAATAGTTTTGTTTTACATAAGAACCATTTCTATAAATTTACTATTATGTAGGAACCAATTATGCAATATCACTACTACACGTGAACTATTTTTGTAGTACAAGGAACAAAACTATAACTAATGCAAATTATAAACGAAGAGATCAAAACTGATAGGAATAGGTCGGTCTTGACTAGTTCAATATACAAAATAAATTTGTTCTTGATTGACCAAATCTTTGTCTTATCTTTTGTATTCGTTGCGATTACTTTTTATTTATTCAATAAAAATTATCAGTTTTGAGACTGATAATTGAAGTGTGCGAATAACCAATTTTAACAATCGTTATCAGAGCTTCGTCACAAGGCTCTTGTTGTTAGAGTAGAGAAAAGAAACATTGATGAGCGATAACGACAATACTAACTTGTTTATTTTACCAGCCATTCTAGAGATTAAAGGGAACTACAATCATTATCTACTTGTCCATGCACAATAAATGTAAGAGAACACCACAGAAAAGAATGTTCTAAAGATTACTAATAAAGAAAGTGGCACTAGAGGAAGATTATGAGGCAACTATAGAGAAGATGTTAGAGGAGTGATGGTCGAGGAAGGCATTCTAACTGAGTCACGACTGAGTGATACCATTGTCAAAAGTTAGGGCATTATCAATTTGAATACCCTAGTTTGGAAAGAAGTGTAACCTTTATAAATCTGAATATGCATGAATAAATACTACTTATGGAAATTATGGAGAAATAAGAGACACAAAGGATGAAGTTTCATATTTAGACTTAGGTTGTTCCAACCATATAACCGGTAACAAAAAATGGTTAGTTGAACTTGTTGAACATCATGTACATTATGTGAAGATAGGAACCTATGAAAAGATGCAGGTCTGGGGACATGACAATATTACTGGAAATAATGGCCAATCACCATACTTGTTAATATTACTAATAATTTCAAGGTCATTTTGCATCGTCCACTTTCTCGTGCTCATCTCTGGATTGAAACCCACAAGGTTTGAACTTGATACGTTCCCATGGGGTAGCCAAGTTTTAGTCGGTGAGCCACCAAGGTGATGGTTAATTACAAATAATGAATCATTCATTATAAATATTTTGGGGATGATTGAGATTGTTTTTAAAGCTAATTTTGGGGATACAAAATATTCATTTATATTTAGTTACCATCTAAACTTATTTTTTTATTATGGTTTGGATGTACACATATGGATACAATAAATGAAGATATGATATCGTTCATTTATTTATTATTTTAACAACATATATAATATATAAGTAGATTCAAACATGAAAGTTCAATATCAAGTCAAACAATCCATGTTTACTTGATGTTTATTTAGAAATAGATAGGGAAATATAGAACGATGTTTGCTCCCATTTTATTTTAAAGTCACACTCACAATTGAAGATGATCAGATTAAACCAGGATCTCTAGAAGATCCTTCACTGTAGTTGAAGGCGTTGTTACCCTTTCCGCTCTCATCCCCAATTCCAACACTATTGTTATTACCACTGCCATTACCGTTAACGGTTTGGTTGCCGTTTTGGGAAATATTTCCGTTGATGACACCATTGTTGCTACCACTTCTGTTTCCAATATTGTTGCGGCTACCGTTGTTGTTTTTGTTATTTCTGTTGTTATTACTGATGGCGACGTTTTTTTCAATGTTTAAGTAGTCATTTTTGTTGGAATAGCTTTTATTTTTGGCGTAGATTTTGTTCCGGTTGTTTCCGTTTCTTCTACTAAGATCATTACAACCAACTTCACCATTCACACATCCTCTTCCTTGTATATTCTTAGTTCTTTCTCCATTATCATCGGCGTAGCTTATTCCAATACTTGCCTTGAACATTCCTCCAATATTTTCCTTGAGAGATTCTTTTCTATTATATTTATGCCCTCCTCCACATATCATATCTCCCGTGGAACAACCAATCTTACTTGAACCCTCTACATGTGCAATGGGTTGATTTTCCTTTTCAACAAGCTTTCTACCATGAGCAATGTCAATTGTGCACATCAAAAACCCGAAAAATATACCAACGAAAAGCTTAATTGCCATCGTATAGGTTATCTTTTTCTAAGTTTATATCGATGAATTATGATAATTACTAGCACAATCGCATCTATATATAGGGATTTAAATACGAGAAAATTTTAATAAGGTAGTTAATATATTAATGAATATATAGCTTTGCGTCTTAAAATACATATAAATATTAATATGTGATATATTGTACCATCTATATAATTTGACAAACCCATCAAACAATTTTCAATTTCTTTTCATTTTACTAAAAATGTTAAGTACATTCATGTTATTTTATAATTGAAATTTCATAATAAAACTAGAAAACTCATCAAAAACGATACCATATTATTTTTGTTTTTATCATTGAAATGACATAATAAAACTAGAAAACTCATCAAAAACTATAAAATACTATTTGTGTTTTTGAGATTAATCATTTTATTAACTTATTGTATAATTTACCACTATAAAGTTTCTCAAATTTAAGTTAATTATGTTATATATATATATATATATATATATATATATATATATATATATATATATATATATATATATATATATAGATCCGGTAAGAAGGAAATTTTTGGTAGGAAGGTAAGAAGTTTTTTTTCTATATATTTTTTTGACGAACAAAATATATGAATCACTAGATGATTCATTTGTAAGATGATTCACAAGAAAAAATTCCCAAAAAAACATCTTTATGATTCATTTTTCAGTAAATTAAGAAAAAAAATTCACTTTTATGACAATTTTAGTGAATAATAACAAAATCATTGTATAAATGAATCATCGAGATGTTTTTTTGAGAATTTTTTCTTGTGAATCATCTTACGAATAAATCATCTAATGATTCATTTTGTTTGTTCGCGAAAAAAATATGTAGAAAAAAAACTTCTTACCTTCCTACCAAAAATTTCCTTCTTATTTGATCTTGACTATATATATATATATATATATATATATATATATATATATATATATATATATATATATATATATATATATATATATATATATAATCTTTAACATATTTTATACTCTTTAATATCTTCTACATATATCTCATTTTAAAAAAATGGTAAATCGTACAACTCATTTCATACATCAAATATGTCCTAAGGTCCAACATGTGAGAGGTAAATCTAGTATCACTAGTAATATTTTCTATGTTCTAGTATTTGAACCGTTAAGTTTTTGTTTAAAATTTTGCATCTCAATCAGTAGGCTCTCATCGTAGGGAGTGATGTGTAACGTCATGTTTTGAAATGACTCTTTGAATATCGGATGTAATATGAATGATTTAAATATATAAACTTGTGATATGTATTAAGGATTTAATGTTGAATTGGTATGAGTCATTAAGTTAAGTGGAATGAATAAGAGATAAGTGTTTTGACATTTCATGAGAAACATGACACAACTATGATAGGGTCGTGACACGACGAATGAAAAAGATATCACTATGCGACCATGAAAAATGTGACACATGAGGCGAGATGTTGGTTATGTAAAAATAAGTAGTGGAAACAACATACATCAGAGGATCGTGGCACGATTGTGTGAGACGTGATGTGTTTTGAAGTTGGTTGTTATGAGTTTTTCAACAAGTATTTAGTGAAAAATAGTAAATTGTCTATAAAAGTATAGAGTCATGATGCAAGGGAAGAAAAAGTGAAGGGACTGGCCACGATGTGTCAATTATGAAGTTGTGACATGAAGTCGTTGACGACGAAAAAATAAAAAGGTTTACTTTGTCCTTTTGACCTAAATACTCATCCAAAAACACAATGGGAAGGCATAGGTGCGAACTTGGGTGAAATATGAGTTAACTCACTAAAAATTTAGGACGGATCGAAAGGGATTGTATCACAACTAAACGTATACACTTAGATTAAAGGTAAGGAGCTTAATCCTTTGAAATCTGCATTAAATTTGAAAACATTCAGATCATGGTTAAAAACCCTAATACGAAATTATAATGCATATTTTAAGAATTGAAGTATAATGAGCTATTTATGATTGTATATGAATTGAATACATGCTTTTGATGCTAAATTTGTGGTCTAATTCATGAATTTTAAGGTAGGTCATAAAAAGCCTTAATCAAAGAATTTATAGAATACATGTATAAATGGGTATATCTTAATAATTTAAGACATATAGATGGTTAATTCATGGAGTATAATTGAGTTGGTGTAGAAACTGTGATAAAATGTGTTTGATCATGAAAAGCTCATATGTTTGGAATAAATTACTTGGAAGATGATTTAAATGGAGTAATATCATCCTAAATATGTCTTAATGGGTTAAGGCAAGCATATTTCACTATTTTTTGATGATATAAGTTAAATTTGAATATGATAGGATGTTATGGCTTAATGAGCTTTAAGTCATTTCTATGTAAAACATGAATTGTTCTTTGATTATAAGAGCTTAAGAATAGTCATTATTGTTACAATGTCAAGGACAAGGTGAAGGATAAATGATCGGGTGTTGGGACTTCCAACAATCAAACATAAAAAAGGTGAGTAAAACTTATCTTACCTTTAATACATGATCTAACTAAGATTATTTGAATATGAATTTAACAGTATTGTAAATTATATTATGATTTGTGGTGGAAAGTAGAACCTATCATACTTGGTGTCTAAAGTATTAAGGCTCAAGATGATTTTGTAACCTCCCAAAAACCCAGAACCAAAAATTTTGTTTTTATATTAAATAAAAATCAACCAAACGTGTTAATCAAACCCATAAGAAAGTCAAAGTGTATCAATAATCATCCGAAATAGATCAGAGTTAATAAAGCGGAAAAATCATGGTGTGTGTGATACGATCATCCTGAGCTCTTCCCCTTCCAACCGAAAGTACCTGAAACATAAGCTGAAAACCGTAAGCACAAGGCTTAGTGAGTTCCCCAAAATACCTCACACCGCACACACAATGGGCCATGCCCGCTATCCATCGGGCCCAGCCCGACATCGAGCCCCGCCCGGAACAGATCTGTCAGTAGCATGCGATGGGCCCTTCCTAACACAATCATCAGGCCCCACCTGGGATCGGGCCCCGTCCGACATACATGCAACACATACAACACATTCAAGAGTCACATAGACAACTAGCATACAAATAACAATAATTCATGGGCTGGCATTGGTGTCTTCGACTCGCCAAACATTGGGAGGAGACTCACCTCAAACTGTTGAAAAATTAGATAAATGCTCGGACTGCTGATACGGGAAATCTCTGCACTAAATATAATTAAATAATACCCTAATTAGTAAATAGGTCATAAACCGTAAATGAGATTTTAATTCACTAATCTCGACTCCTGGGGTAAAAGACTATTTTACCCTTTCCTTAAGTGGCCCAAATCAATGGTACTCAAAGCCCTAAAATGGCCCAAATCCAAAAGACATTCAAAGCCTAAAATCCTAGAGTCCAAAAGTGGCCCAAAATCAAAGGAAGCCCACAGCACGGCGTACGCCCCGCATACCCGACCCGTACTTCCCACGTATGTGTGTTGACTCAAAAATGGGTTGCCGAACCAGTATGTGCATCGTACTAAGAAGTATGTTGGTGTACTGGTCAGTGAGCCATTCTTCCACTTTTTACTTAATCTATTAAGCCCTTAACGTCCAGCCAATAGATCCACTTCAAAACAAGGTCTTAATATGTAAAGTTGCCAACTTTACTCTTTTTCATGACCTATGGGACCCAAAACCCGTTTTCATTCAAATATACCCATAAAATGAACTCTAACTAATGCATGGTTCCTCAACACCCATCAAGATGTCATTTTTGTGCAATAACAACCTCACAAATTCCAAGATCTATCATTCTATGCTCCTGGAGTAGCTTATACTCACAAGGATGACGCAAGGGATCATAAAATGCCCAAAACATAACCCTAAACTAGACATAACACAAAGGTTCATCAAGATGAAAGCTTTTTACTTTCCGATGCTTGCAAAGTTGATGAAGACTCTAGATCTTCAAGCTCTATTCCAATCAAAGCTTCACCACCAAGATCCACTTTCTTGAAAGAGCACAAAAACACCAAAGGATCACTACCAAGGATAAAAACACACAAAGAACAACTAGGGTTTCATGGGGAGTCTCTAGAGATAAGGAGGTTGATGAGGGGAAAGGTCTTGAGTCCATAATGTTGCTTAAATAGGGTCCAAACCCTAAAATTAGAGTTTTTGTTTTGATTATGTATGCCCTGCATACAAGAGGTATGCCAACGTACGCTCCCCTTTCCCAAAAATTATAATAATCCCCTAGGGACCAAATTTGCAAACTAGTTACACATGAGGGTCAAAATGAAAAATACCTTGAATCGGGTTTTACAATTCTCCCCCACTTGAATTAGACTTCGTCCTCGAAGTCTGCTGCTGCAAATAACTCTGGGTAATGCTCCCTCATCTCGTCCTCAGACTCCCACGTCCACTCAGAACCCTTTCGGTGCTGCCACTACACCTTCATGAGATCCACAACCTTGTTTTATAGAGTCTTCGTTCTCTTGTCAGGGATCGCCACTGGTCTCTGTATATATAATTCAGGCGATCATCCACATGGATGTCCTCCAATGGAACCACTGCGAAATCATCGACCAAACATTTTCGCAGCTGAGAAACATGAAAAGTGCTATGAATCTGATTGAGCTTCTCTGGTAGCTCGAAACGATACACAACCCTGCCCACCCAGGCTAACACCCTGAAAGGACCAAAATACCTGGGGCCTAGTGTCACACCCCGTTAAAGCGGAAACACGAAGAGTGACAGGCTAAGGTCTCATAACACAAGGTAAATAGGATTACCAACCATAATCATTGAGCATTTTTATGTTTACATCATATTCGAAATAATATTACATTTTAGTTCCATACTACATAGTCTAGTACATAACAAGAGCAATAAACATAAATCATTGTGGCATCTTAAACTGACTCACTGGTCGTTTCCTGAAAAGCAGGCAAAAACGAGGGTCAACTATAAAATAGTTGGTGAGTTCACAAGTTT